CAATGGGTTTGGGAAGGCATTCACGCAAAATGGCTGTTTCCACGGCACTGAACCTCTTCTCCTCGTCTTTTAGCTCCGAAAGCTTCTTCTCCACTTGTTTCATTTTTCTGCGGGGATGAAAAAGGATGTACGATAGTTACCACGTCCGTTTTGTGAGCTGACTCGACGACGTGGACAGGAAGCAAAATTATGAAATGTTTACACATTTTGAAAGCCTCTTTTCAAAGAAATTTTCTGACAAATGTGGTTGTTCTGCCCCTAGTTTGTGGATTTTGTTTGGACGTGATAATTTTTTTGCGATTCTACAACTGAAAATTTTGCTTTCCAGTTAAGATGTAGATAAAGGGACTGGCTATTTCACGAATTCACTTTTTTAAGATAGGGGGATTCACACAGACAGATACCTAAACACGCATCGCGCCAGTTATTAGAAACCAAGGACTGCCTCGGAGGTCTGACACATTTTCAGGCAGACGGTTAGCTAAAACGGCACAGATATTACTTTATGCATGAGTTCAATTATTTATATTGTTTTCTAGAAGAGATAAAAGATGATGTATCTCCTCAAATTTTGACCGAGACCTTAATATGTGATGTCGGCCAGAAAGGGTTACATAGGCGGAATTGTATTAGTTATCAAAATGCCATATAATTCCAATATATGTTGGTCGCAACAGAATGCTCGCATTTGGTTATAAGTCCTTCTGACGGTCTGCGAACAACAAACCCTCTAAAAAGCGACCAAATGAATACGTCATGTATATTTTTTACGGATTTTCTGGGCCCTTATATTTTGTAGAAAAAGTTTTCTTGCTTGCACTAGGTTCTTACTCTGGTGATGGTACCGCATGTAACCCTACCTAGCTTGTGCTGTAATACTTGCCTATTTGTTTTATTAAATCAGGGATATTTCGTTAGCTTTAGGGTAATTACAATCGTAAGGAAAGCAGTTAGGGTTGATGAATTTTTGATACAGGCTTTTAACAATAAGGTTAGTGGTTAGGCGTTGGCGATGTATGTTGGGTTTTTAAGGCTAAGGTTTTAATACTTTCAAGGAAAGGCGTCGTGTGGGAAAATGAGGAAATTTATTCAGTAAATTTTCGACACTGGATCCCCAGGTCGTCGTCAGAGTTGAGAAAATGTGCAAAGGACAATTAGAATTTCAAAGTGCTTGTACAGTTATATAGTCGTCTAGCCTGGGCGCTGATTGATAGTTGCAATTTGCATCACGCCGTGGTGGATATAATTAGCAGTCGCAAGGGCGTAATGGCTAATTGGCAACTGTAATCGATTCGGGGTCAGTCCGGGTCATCCGGTGTGGACGCTAACTGCAGTTCATGTTGGTCCATAGCTATTGGCTGTAGTCTCTCCAACCTTTCTTTGAGATGTTTGTACACTCCAGCCAACTCAATACGCCAGTTGATGCATGAATAATTATCAGCCCTTTTGGAGGGGCAAACTCCGACGATGCGTGTTTTGTTCCATGCAAAGGTGTGTCTTGTGTCAAGGCAATGCATAGGCACTTCGCACAAATGGTCACT